CGCTTATTTAATTTCTTCCCAAATCTTTGTCAGATGTGGTCGTTTTTTTTTGTTTGTTTGTTTTTTAATATATGTATGTGTCAGTCCCTCAGAAGTCTCCGAAGGATCCTGTCTCTCTTGAAGAACTACGTAGTATAACCCCTTTAGCCGGTGTAGGTTAACCTGCTTAAGGTTGGTTGGGCTTTAGGCGATGAATCAGCAGACCTTCACTACCATCCGTCGCGACAGTCAATGTGCAGTGCTTGAATGAGTCGATAATCACTTGCTTGTGATTGAACACGACCAAAACTATGCAATCTTTGTTGTCTCAGCACTCTTCTATAAACTAGGGGGAGGGGAGGGTGCACTTTTTCGAGGCGATGCGCATATTTCAAATTTTGGCCGGTAGGAGGGGCGCTTATTTAAAGCTAGGGAGCCCTTATTTGAGGGGAGGCGCTAATTCGAGGATGTAAGGTATGTTTTCCCCCTGATTTTTGGCGGAAATGGCGGCGTTCTGAGCATGCGCAACAAGTTATCTTGGAGCTCTCTTCTCCCGCCTGGGTTCAGGTCCTATTACTGAGGGCGGCCGGCTGGTGAAGGCAGAGTTAAGGGATGGGACCATAGTACCAGGGAAAGATATATGCCGTTTGCTGACCTTGGCTGGTGGACAGCCATTGATCTCGATCACGAGATGAACACGAGCTTATCATCATGGTTACAGTGAGTGTTGGTTATGAAGCCGAGTGGACTCGCCGAAAGCATTTCGTGATTGATAACCGAGAGGGATGCTTTGGAAGTTCATAATAAAATTGCACGAACCTTTAAGCGAGGTTAACCTCGCCAAACACCTCTCTCACTTCCGGCTCTAAATCATATTCGATCGTGCAGCTTCTGTAAAGTTCTTGTTTTTCGTATTTTCTTTCGAATTCCGTTTTTTCAACAACATTTTGGTCTGACATGGCACACCGACTAACATCCAATTTGGGTTTTCAAAATTGAAGTTTGCATATTGTGGTAACCCTATGATGAACCAGTATCCCATCCAGGGGGGAGTAGAAATTCTCCTAGTCGCTTCATGCTACAGAAACCGGACATTAGCGCTGGCCTGATGGGCCACTTGGCTCTTATGCAGACTTTACTTCTACCTTTCACCCATTGAAAAGTCAGAAGCTGCCAATTTTGTGAAGTATTTAATAAACATGCAAACAGCAAAGAATAAGCTGATCTAAATTATTTACAACGTTATCAAAATTACACGAAAAGTTATGTCTTTAGAAAAGTATAAGGTACACTTAATTCTAGCAATCTTCCGAAAATTAAACCAGCAAACTTTGACGGAAGTTTTATAGTCGTCCTCATTTCTGAACATTATAGTGCTAGGCATAAAATAGACGAACTCATATATACTTCGGACATAATTTACAATCTGAATACAACAAATCATTGACACAAGCACATTAGCTTTAAGTTAAAATAAATTTCTCAAATTAAAAGGTAAATAACTTATTCGCTCTTTTGTAAGTCTCCATCGACTTAGTTTGGTAAGTTTTTGCCGCTTATTAAGCGTTCGTCGTTTGTTTTGAATTCTCGCCAAGCTCACCTGTAGCCATGGTGACGTCAGCTTTTCTTGGTGGATACTAAGAAACAGTGTAATCAAACAAATTGATTCGCGATTTATCTTTCCAAAAAGAATCCATCGAGGTAATCACCAAATATCTCACATCATTGTACGGTGCGACATAAAAACAGAATTTTCCATCGCCCATAATTAATCTCTTAAAATAACACGGTTAAACCTGACTTGAAATTGAATTAAATTAATATATTAAATAAAAGTCAAATGACTAATTCGCTCTTTTGTCAGTATCAAACCACGTAGTTTGCAGTTGCATCCGCGTTTGTCGTTTGGTTGGTTTTCTCGCCCGGTTCTCCAGTTTCCACGGTGATATCGAAGGTTCTCTGTAGATCACGTATCGCTTTTATCGTCAGGAGACCGTCTTTTGTCAAGTGTGACGTCACTGAGCCGAGATCTACGTCATCAGGCAGCAGAATGCGACGGCTGTAATCACGTGACAGTTGATGTCCGGAGATGTGTTTCCCACTGACGGTCAACTCATTTCTTCGCAGTTGGATCTTGATCTCTTCTGGTCTACAACCTCTGAAATCCAACTTGGCCTCAAATTTGTTGTTGTTTGCTTTTTTTTCCACTCGTTTCATGCCCTGGATTATGAGCGCGCCCCCATTTTGGGCAATGCTTGACGTCACAGTTGTTGGATCGACATCGTGAGGGAGTTTGAAGACTCTCTTGAGTTCGCTTTTCTCGGATCCATCTTTCTTTCCAAGTCGATGCTGGCCATGTACGATGACCTTTTCGTTGTCAACCTCAAGCGAGATTTCTTCTGGTTTATAGTGCCTCAGCAGCACAGAGGCGATCTTTATTGATTCCTGAACCTTAGTTTTTTGTCCTGCAGAACCTCCAGATTCCTGAGGGACAGGAACCTCGCTCCACTGATCGAGACGAAAGTCATAACCTCTGGGAGCAGAAGGAAAAATCATGTTAAAAAAGTTGAATACCAACTAAAATTTATCACTGAAAGAAGTGTTCTGATTGATTTTGCACCACGTTAACTCGTGAGAAAATGTGAGAACAGAAATTTTTTTTCTGAAATTTGCAGATAAATAACGCAGTTTCAGAGTCAAGCCTCGCGCACTTTTCTTTTCATTTGTAGATTTCACCTGTCGAATAGTGTTTAAGAGATGTTAAATGGCATATGTGAGACTTTTCCAGAAGGCGAGGGTAGCGTTACTCTTTGCGAGACCCAAACATTTTGACTTGTCAAATTGCGAGACCTAGACTTCAAAGTGTTTTAAGTGTGAGTGGGAGACATGAAGACTCTAAGACGGTCAAACGCCATCGAGCTGCCGACTCTGTGAAAAAATCGAGACTGCGAGGCGTACATAATCGCTAAAAAACGCGTACCTCGAGACCTGTGATATTCGACGAAAATTTCGCGGGACCTTTCATACCCGAACTCTCTTGGCCTCTGATCTCGTGCTCTTGAGTTGTCAAGAGTTCAGTTGTAATCACGAATTACCCATTTCTCATAAATAGCCTTAAAACAAATTCTGTGCTGAGATATTCCTCAATCATTTCAATAGAAAAGTTACCTAAAGAACATACTGAAAGAACTCAAACCACAAATTTAAATAAAATAATAATAATGATAAATAACGTTAACATTTACCGGAATGGATTGGGCGTTGAAAGTCCTTTAAAAGCGATTGCCCAGAGAGCCATTGTATCGAACATCTCTTGATAGTTTGATCGTCTTGTTGTAGTCTGCTGGTAACTTCCTTGGCGAACTGTTTTAAGGTGACCTAACAATTTCCTTATGTTGTGAAACTCAATCCCCTCATTACTAAGTGGTTAATTTTAGTGTATCTGGTGACCATCTTGTGATCTGTATTCAAGGTCAACTTGCACGGGTGCATTTTTTCTAAGCTGTTAGCATCTGTGCCAACTCTCCCGGATTCTTTTGGGATACAGACAGTATATATACGTATCTACCGGCTGTTCCGTACGGGTGACCAAATCTCACACATTTACCAAGGAGTTAATGCGTATAAAATAATTTTTCAGCATATAGTTGGTCGATTTTTGACGTTTCTTGGGAACAATGTTTGGATGTTTGACATTTTTGTGGTTGAATTAGCGGTGCTCCACTTAAAAAAAAAAAAAAATTTTAGGGCCAAGAAGGGCTATCTGCCAGATTTCGACTTTTTTCGGTTGGCATCTCTGCCAGTTAATTTCGTTACTCGTTGTGTTAAAGCTCCTGCTAGCAGCCCTTATTACCTTTATATTTCAAAGGCTACTTTCCAAAGCACACTCCTCATTATTGTATAACAATTCTTTTATCTTGGGTCAATGAGTATGTCACCGGTGTAATAATATTTGTGTATTAATCTCAAGGTACGAGAAGGCTTCGTAAATCGGTTATTTGAAAGTATAGCTATTCAGTATGAGAGGCTTAGTATTAGACAATTAAATTGATCTTTGCTTCGCAAAACACAAGAATATCACTTTATCCCCTGATGGCAAATTCATTTTATCAAGCAGATCATGGTTCAAAGTTGCGTGAAGGTATTTTATAGTGTCAGGATTTATAATAAATATCTGACAACTACTCTGATTTGCTTAAACAGCGTGCTTTCTGAGAGGTTTTTTTTTTCACATTTTCAGGAAATTCCACGCAGGCTTCATAAAGCAGTCACGCCCCAATGCCACGCGCGCGCTTTATCGAGTCACGTACGTGGTCCAGGTCACGAGCTTGAAAATAGTAAACTTTTTCCTCGTGTTCTGTTGAGTTATATAACCATTGTTGGGTCTACTTAAATAAGTATCCGCGTGCTGAAAAAAGCGTGCTTATATAACTAAACTTTACATTCGATCACGTCAGCTATTCTCCAATACGCACCGTTCGCACAGTCACCCCATCGACAGACGTTTTCTGTGCGCGTTTAACTTCCTGTAAATTAGATAGTTACTGAACTCCTTTTTTCATAGGTTCGAATAAAAAAAGAGAAATGCAACGATTAAAACTGCACTGGTCTCCCAAAGTGATGTAACAAGACGACTTTAATTACAGAGGTATATTTTTGAACAAATTCAGACATTCTATAAAAAGAAAGTTTCTAAAAGTGATCCCAATCACATGCGATCCGTAGACCTTTTATACCTCTATATTGCGCGTGTACTCTTGAGGCCTATGAATCAACCTTACTTAAATCCCATTTCTCCACAAATGTAAACTTTTATACTTATAAAACATATAACGAGCTTGACCGCTTTCTTACGTTATAAGGCGATCGCACCCCTTTTTTTGCTCTCTTTTTTGCTCACGTGCTTTGCAACGAGACAAACCAAGTCCACCGGGGAATAACGAAACACACGGGTATAGGAAAAAAAAAAAAAGAAAAGAAAAGAAACNAAGAGAAATGCAACGATTAAAACTGCACTGGTCTCCCAAAGTGATGTAACAAGACGACTTTAATTACAGAGGTATATTTTTGAACAAATTCAGACATTCTATAAAAAGAAAGTTTCAAAAAAACTGGCCAAACAATCAAAAGCCGAATCACGATGGGTGAGTTATGTTTTGAAACAGGCACGTTTCAACACATGGATCAGCTGTAAATTTAGTTTGTCCGTTTGGTCCATATTGGGGAAAATTAAAATTTGTGTCATTTTTACAATTTTAAGTGTTTGGACTCTCAAAATTTGAACTCGATCAACATTTCCCCATTTCCCTACTTCCCGGCCCGTTGGCTCAATAATAGGGAACTTGAGGAAACCACGACGACGACGGCAACGAGAACTTAACCGAACAAAAGGTTTAATGAGCAAAACAATAGCTGTGTGCATTATAAATCTCTGTACATTTCTTTGCCGTCCCGGCTGCAAAACAACAACGTGAAACAACAAAGTTTTGCTTAGTTTGAGGAACGCGAACGACGACTACTAATTTTTCGTGTTTCCATTTTGAATCGAACGCTGTCATTGCATATTTAGCCTGAGCAAGTTTTTTTAGAGCCATTGATGGACTGAACAGATCTAGGCAGTGGCGAAAATAAATTCATTTTTGACGAGTGACGAGCAAGGGTTTATCTTGAGACAATGTGACTAGACAATAAAATATTTTAGTTCAGTTCACATTTTCTGGAGTCATGACTAAGTATTTATCCTGAGACTGTGAATAGACAATTTTTTTTTTTTAGTTAAACATTTTACGGAAACATGAGTAAGTTTTCGAGCTAAAAAAAGGAAAGAAAGAAATGAAATGAAAGAAAGGATTGTGCTACAAACTACCCTTTTCGCCGCAAGAAAACCATTTCCTATATATATGCGTCAAAATGAAAGGAAAACATCGGCGACCGATCGACATGAAATGAAAATGGTTCAGTACATCGATGAAACGGTTGGATAATTCAAGTGAAGGCCAGCTCGTGTAAAGGAGATTAAAATAAATAAATATGATTTACCGGTGAAAATGATGAAACTGGAATAATTCGTAAACGAAATTGAATCGACTTTCTGTGAAGCTAGGTATCAACCCCGACAAGACTACCTAGACAAAGCAAAACAAAAAAAATCTATGACCAGGAAAAATATTTGTGAGCTGACCTTGTCTTTGGGAAAAACCCTGGATGATCACAAGATCAAACACACGACAAAAAAGCATGAGCCAAAATAAAAGAAAAAACAGTCAAGTAATGTTTAGTTAATGATCAAATTTAGCTTCTCGACAAAATAAGCCTTTGGGTTTCCATGAAGTTGGATTTTAGTGATATACATTAGTGAATTAGAAGGGATTTTCAAGTAGCAGTAATAAAGTACGTAGAAATCAAAAGCATGCAAGACTCACTCTTCCCCATTTTAACGTTATTTGAAGTAATTTACCCTGAAGAATGTCACTTTTTTATTTTTAGAATATCGTCTAGTACACCTTTTTTTAACTTTGTTCTCACTTTTATTTTACTAAAGTGGTATTGTTATGTAAGTCAAATAATAATCTCTGATGGCTTTAAAGGAAGTCGTACAGATTTACTGTACCAGTGTGTAAGAAAAAAATCTTTCAGTTATTCCAACATACTAAGATGTTTGATTGTTGAAAGATGCTAACTACGACAGCCATTTTCCTAGATTTGAGCTCACCTCATTTACTGATTCACTGTTAATGCATGACAAATTTATATGATTTATATTATTATATTATTTATACTATTAGTTTTTAGGCCACGTCAACATTACACCAGAGAAATTTGAAAACAAAGCTTAATTTCTACGGTTAGGCCTACCGTCCAAACTAATCTGTCATGAAAACCGTGAGCTATTCGAAATCAATCTTCAAACCGGAGGAATTTGTATACGCCGGCTTTGCGGTTTAGTGTGAGAACGACGGTTTTCGAAAACGATGCATATGACGTTACGATAATCATGTGATTTCACCGCCCGAGTTTTATTTCCTCAAGCACAAACCCAGAATGACCCGGTGACTTTTACGTATTTAAATTTCTCCTGCGTGGTGTGGAAGGAAAACATTTAATGCGTTTTCAGAGTGAAAGGCCCTTTTTAATTTCATCCGGCGTAGTGTAAGTAGTGTAGTGTAAAAGCGGCCTTCATTTGCATTCAATTCAGTGCACTAGCATTCCTAATTATGTCAGTGATGTATGAGTAACCACACAAAAGCTTTGGCAATAGGCTACTTTCGATATATTAAAATTCAGCTTGAACGGTGAGGCCTAGAGGACACAAACAAAAGAGATGAATAAACACGGTCATTCAATTTCCTTTGCGTCCTCTAAGCCTCACTGCCAAGCTGAAATGAAATATCGCAAACGGTCCGATTGAGGACTAGTATTTGAAAATTCTTTCAAATTGCCCTCACCTAAAGGTTCGTGGGATTTTGAGAGAATTTTCAAATATCACTTTCGTAGTGTAAATCCTTAACTGAATTGTATTCGCATTTATATGATATTTCTCAGTTTTATCATGAATTCTGTCGTTTAAAACAATCCAGTGTTTATTTGTGTTGGAGCAAACTCTTCTTTGAACAGATATTGTCCCGTTTGAATGGCATTGTGATAAGTCACAAATAAATGCTTGTTTGCGTGAAAAACGTTCCGAAATAGAACAGAAAGGAAGATAGAAATTACAATACTAAACATTTATTTGATAGATTCACAATGTTTTTGACATTATCACACAATGAATACTGAAGTAGGCAATAAAACAACTAAAGAAGTGAAACTGTACAAAAATCAATGCAAAATAACCTCAACCATGCACTAGCCATAATTTCTCTATTTAAAATTATCGGTGTACAATAAAAAATTTGGAATACGAACTTCTTTCTTTTCAGTTTCAATGAGAATCGTAATAATCATAAATTTCTATAGAACCTTTCATGAATGGGTGCCAATTTTAATTTTTTTGCATGAATTTACATTAACCTCCCTAACCCCGTTGAATTTTCAACTTTTAAACGAGGTTAGTCGGACTAATTTCAACACTTACAAACGAATTTATAATTGGCAGCCATTTATGAAAAGGGTCTAGAGCTATTACGTAAAGTTGTATCGATATGGATCAGAGAACACATCTTTTATATTGGACTTAAGTAAATGTCTTCTTTCATTAAAAAAATAAAAAAAAAATAGATAAAAAAAGATCAAACACATACGACACAACTGAGAAAAATTCAATTGGACAAAAGCATAAAAACTAAATATTCGCTTCAGTAGCATATTTTTTAATTAGGTGGTTCGTCGGCTCTCTCTCCCGCATTGGCGCTCGCCTTCTATTCTGGTTCCTAGTCTACGTCATCTGTTTCCCCGGTGACGTCAAAGTTACACTTACGCGGCAAAACGCGTGACGCTTCTATCGTCAGCAGGCCTTCTTTTGACAAGAATGACGTCACCGAACTGGGATCTACGTCATCGGGTAGCAGAATGCAACGATTGGCTGACCTACGTGACTGATGACGTTCACACACCTGCAAGCCAGTGATAATCAACTTATTTCCTCGGAGTTGCAACTTGATCTCTTCTGGTTTGAAACCTCTAAAATCCAACTTGCGCTGGAATTTGCCGTCGTTTGCTTTCCCTTCCCTGTGTTTTGTACCCTCGATTACGAGAACGCGGCCATCTTGTGTAATGCGTGACGTCACAGTTGTAGCATCGACACCTTGAGGAAGTTTGAAGACTCTCTTGAACTCGTATTTCTCGCTTCCATCTTCTCGATGGACCTCATGCTGGCCAAGTACGAGTACCTTTTCGCTATCTACTTCAAGCGAGATTTCTTCAGGGTGGTAATGCCCAAGCAGCACACAAGCGATCTTTATTGTTCCCTGGTAAGGCTTTTCCATGGCTTGTCGGGGGTTTGTTATTTGCTGTTCGTATGCGGTAGCCAGATTCCATAAATTGAAAAAAACGTCAGAGCCCCTGGGAACTTGATTGTAGTGACTGCAATAGCAAAAGGAAGCAGCTGAATGCCAAACAGAGTAAAATATTGTAATCTTTAATCTTAAACTGATAATTATTTGACGTTTGTGAATTTGTATTCTCAAGAATAGTTCTACAGTTCTTGAATTGCTTGAATTCTGTTGTCTTCAGTTTCAGATACAAACTATGCAATTCTCCAGCATAAATAGCAGCAAAATCAAAATCTTCCTCATCTGTTCCAATTAAGATGCAGAAATTGGACATTTAAAGATAAGCCCAGACCCACAAAAACTGATTTTAAAATTTACCTGAAAGGATCAAAGGTCGGAAATCGATTAACGAGAGGCATCATTTAGTCTTGAACTTCTTCTCTTGATATTTGTCTTTTCTTCTATCTTGCTTGTAACTTGTTGAAAACGTTATGAACTGATAATCGGTCAGCTGAAACCCTCCTTTTATAGCCGACGATCCTCTTCAAAAACGATCGAAGAGGATTAAAATTAAACACTTAGTCAATGCTTCGTAAGAATGAAAGACACAGTGCGACAGACCAAAAACTATTTCATTTTCATTTTTAATTACTACTTTCTAAAAATGAGAAAAAAACTTAAGAAAATAACCACCGGACAGTTTGCTGCAAAAACAGACCTTTTTTCAATTTCATACCAAATATATATAACACTTAAAAACATTGCGTCCAAAAAACACCTCTACGCTACAAGAAAAAAAAAAAAAGTGCCAACGAGCCTGGCCTTTTGCAACGGTTGGTAAAGTGACGTGCTGATTTAGTCATTGCTAATGCATGGTTTTATCAGAAATTGAAAGACCATTTTCAAAATAAGCTTACATACACATTTTCAGGTTTGTATACTTTAAGAGGAAGTTTTTATGGACGTGACAAATTAGGAGGATTTGTATGGGAAGAAGACGCTTTGTCCTCCAGTCACACTCCAATGGTTTTCCATACAAATCCTTGTAATTTTGCGAGTTTTTAAATTACTCTTCCTCAGTGCTAAAAGCTGTTTTTCACTAGCTCATAGCATAAGCATAAGCCGACATACGCAGACGCATTAATGTGTTGAGAATTAGCGTCTTTTGTTTTGGAAATTTCCAACAAAAGGCGCTAATTATCAACATCTCACTCCGTCTGCGTGTTTCGGCTTATGCGTATGCGCTGGGGAAAACTAGCCTTAAGTTTTGAATGGGTCACATCACCGAAGAAATAAACAAGTACACGTCGCAACAGGGTGGCCAAACGCGCGACAAATATTTCGCCCAACAATGTTCCGATATGTTGCGTTCAAATGCTGCGATCGTTTGGCCAGAGCTTGCAAATGCTGCCGGGCCAACAATGTTGAGATATCGGTTGTGTGGAAATGTTGCGATCGTTTGCCCGGGGCGCGGGCTTTACGACAACCGGTGCTAAAGAGATGAATGAGCGACAACTAATGATCTAAAAATATTTTCAACCCTCTATTAAAATAATTACATATTTATTTCGAAAACCTATCAACTTCTAATTTTAAAATGTCGGGAAATTTCTTAACACGTTTTGAAAACATCGATAAGAAGGTTATTAACGATCCAATCAATAAACACTGTTATATTTTTTTTTCGGGGACATCTCTTTACCTCTTTATCCCAAGTCAAATCTTTGTTAGATTAATATTTCGGTTTATAGAATACGCAAGGATATTCTTGAGGCTTAAAATAGGCACGCGGGAATTAAATAACGTCTGATCTGTTTGGAGGTGTAACTTATAATATGTACTAGGCCCTTCACAATCTATTCACCAACCATTCTTCACCATCTACGGGCATATAACGAACTCACAATGTGACCAGCTCCCAGTTAGCTTGATAGCTCAGTTGGTAGAGCACTGCACCGTTATCGCAGAGGTTATGGGTTTGATTCCCGTTCAGGCCTGATTTTAATCGAAATATAAACGCGAAGAAAAAGAAAAAGACTGGTATCTAATAATAGGTACAAGACTAATAGTTAATAACAAACAGATGAGTCTGCGGGAGAGAAAAAAAAATTACCATAATAATAATA